CGCAGCCGGAGCCCGAGCCGCGGGGCGGGCGCGAAGATGCACACGACCCAGAAGGACACGACGTACACCAAGATCTTCGTGGGAGGGCTGCCCTACCACACCACCGACGCCAGCCTGCGCAAGTACTTCGAGGTCTTCGGAGACATCGAGGAAGCGGTGGTCATCACCGACCGGCAGACTGGCAAGTCCCGGGGCTACGGATTTGTAAGTTATACCAAAGGAGGTCTCGGGGTGGGTAGGGGGGCAACTAAGAGAGGTCCTGGAAGGGAGACCGAAGACAGGCCAGAAGGGACTGAGTGGTCCCAGGCCCTCCGGGGTCAGAGCTTGGGGTGAGGGGCAATGTGGGACCTCGCGGGACCTCCCCCTCCACTCGGAGCTGAGCTGAAACTTTAAGTGTGACGAGGTTTGGGGAGCGAGGGCCTGCGCCTGCCTCGCGGGGTTCCGAGAGGACCTCAGGCGATGCTCTTTCGGGTGGCCAGAGAGCTGGGGAATGAGAGCCAGATCTGGGATGTAGAGAGCTGGGAGGGAGAGAACGGAGCCCCACACCGTGGCATTCCGGGCTTGGAGGCTGGTTGTTAAGTGCGCTGTTGCTTTGTTTAAAAAAAAATTGTGTGTGTGTGTGTGTGTGTGTGTGTGTGTGTGTGTGTGTGTGTGTGTGTGTGTGTGTGTGTGTGTTGTGGCGTTGAGGCCAGGCTAGAGAAGAGACACCGAGGGGGTCTGGAGCTGCTGTTTCCCCTTCTTGTCACACCCCTACCTTTTAAATTGCAAAGGTAAATTCTAAAACGGAAAGGAAAAGCTGACCCTCTGGCTGTTTGCCTAACTGAAACAACGCATTAAGCTTCCTGGAGATTTAAAGGGGCAAATTCAGCTGCTCAAAGAGCTGGCAGCCCCGGAGCGGGACAATCGCTATTGTCGACCGGGAGTGTTTGCCTGTGGGGAGCAACCGGCTGGTTTGAGGCTGGACTTTGTTTAAAACCCACAGTGCCTCTGGGGCCGGGATGAGGACCTAGAGGGGACACTGGGAAGGCTGTAAATCTACAGGCGATTTCAGAATTGTGGCTTCCAAATCCCTCTCAGGCCCCACACTAGCATCCTTAGGACTTTGGCTAGGGGATGAGGGCTTCTTCCTTCCTCCTTTCTCCTTCTGCTTATTTTTTTTTAAACAGAGGATGGAGGGTTAATGTCCCAATCCCCTCCCAGATAAGAAAGAAAAGGAAAGAAAAAGCAAGCTCAGTGACTTTAATACTTTTCCTTCAGGGGTTAACTGAGGGCTTTGTGTGTATGTCTGTGTATGTTGCTAAGGTCACCATGGCTGACCGGGCTGCCGCAGAAAGGGCCTGCAAGGATCCCAATCCCATCATTGATGGTAGGAAGGCCAACGTGAATCTGGCATACTTGGGAGCAAAACCAAGAATCATGCAGCCAGGTGAGCAGTGTCCTCCTCTCCCCCTCCCAGCTTCCCACCCACTGTGGGGAATGAGCCATTGCCATCCCCAGCCCAGAAAACACCCGCTTCCTGAAAATCTGTAGTGGTATTTGACAAAACTTGAGCCGTGCGTGGCTGGTTATTCCACCAAGGCATTAAAGATGTATGAGCATTCTAAGTGTGCCGCTGGGTACTTGAAATGTATCTATGTGCAAAAATAGAACTTAGGGTCTAGATAGCTTGCACCCAGAAGTTAATTCATGCATTTCTTATACGATGATATATATGTTTGTCTGCTTTCAGTTTTTACTAGCCACTTGTAGCTAAAAAGGCAAACTATGTGGGCCTTGTCGCCACCAGCTAATAAGCCTCCCTTCTTAGTGTGGTCTAGGCCAGTCACATTGTGCTTAGAGCAGGCATGACTAAGAAAGCACATGTTTTCACATACAGACTACTAGCAATCAAATACTTACACATAGTGAGTTTTACCTTGACAGGTTACAGATTATTATTTTTTGACTGATACTTACTTGGAGATGAGAAATAATTTATTAAAATCCCTGTAGCTGTTAACTGACATTGGGATGTATCGTATTTGTCTATGTGAAAATACAACCTGTTATTTGCTACTGTCCTTGACGTTCATTGAGAATAACCCAGTTGACAATAGAGCAAATGTCTTCCATTCCTTGGGCAAGCAACTTTGTTGACTAAACCATGTGCTTTTCATTAAGCCTTTCCTATGGAAGTTTAAAAAGAGGTTGACACCTCCGCTCAGGGGCTCAGTTGTCAGAAAGAGGATACACAGAGAAGTGCCCACTAACATTCAGAACTGTCTTTCTGAAACATCTTTTGTGCATGTACTATTCTTAAGAGAACAATGAGGAAATTTGTTTTTGTGAAAATTTCAATGCTGTAAATGTAGAATGTAAATATAAACTGTAATTTTTTTCAAAGCATTCCGAATGTTCCTAATTGCAAAGACTTTTTCTCCTTCTCCCCTCCCCACCATGGGTTGCAACTACAGGAATATTTGTGAATTTAACTTCATTGTAGTTCTTGGATCTCCCTCATGAGCAGTTTTCTCTGGCCTAAATTATTTTAAATCTTTTTTTATGCCTGTTAACTAAGCTTTACCCTTTTTTTAAGTTTTCCAATCTTAGTCTATCCAACTGTTTATTTAGGATGAATTATAACATTTATAAAGCATATACACATATAAAACATATATGAACAACATGTCCATGTGTACTCTAAAGTGTCATAGGAGTGGTTCTTTTTAAATGAGGAATTGGGATTACAGTTTCTGTGTAGGAATAGTTAAGTATCTAATTGTATACAAATGGAAAACGTGTGTTTTATTGTTAGGTTTTGCCTTTGGCGTTCAACAGCTTCACCCGGCTCTTATACAAAGACCTTTCGGGTAAGTCGATTCATCAAACCCTCTACAGTTTCAACATGGCCACCATTTGTTTCCCTGTCTCTTTGTTATGAACAGACAAGGTCGACATGTCACAGAATGTTCCGGGTTATGCATATTTATATATGCTTATATATCTTTTTAATGCTGATACTATAAATATTTTTAGATGAGTCAAGTTATCTGACCAAGTATGCAGTCTCCAAACCAGCCAAATGTTGGGCTTATGATTAACCAAACCAAACCAAACAAAAGTACCAGGTATGACTTGTGCACAAGACATGTGTCCCATCACCGTTCCTGCCGTTCAGCTTGACTCAATGTTATTTATCTCTTTCTAACCTGACAGGGCTCGTATACAGTTAAGCTAACTGATGAGAAGGATGCGATCATAAGAGGTGGACTAGTTCTGTTTGGAATTAAACTCTGTAACCAGTAGACTCAGACACACAAGCTCAGATGGTGATTAACCATGCATGGATGTTGGTGGTGTTGTTTTTATTTTTTCACTATAGTCCATAGCCCTCCGTGTGCTTTATTTTATTTATTACAGTAATGAAGTGGTGTTGATAGCTAAACTGTGTGCTTTGACTTAATTGAACAGAGCTGTAGTGAGTGTTTTCTTTCCTTGGGGAAGGGGCTCTTTGCCGTTTGTTTTTGGTGGTGGTGGTGAGCAGTGTTGACTTTTGACTTTGCCTTGGGAAGCAAAGGGCCTTTTTTCCCCCTCCTGCTTTTAAGCTATTAGCCTGTGAGTTCCATTTAACATTTTTGTAGTGAGTGCTAAATCGTGTGATTTCTCTCTGTAAGAATACAGATTCACTGCTTGCATGTTCTAAGTCTCTGTTTTCTGGGGACGGGCTTTCTTTTGCAATGTATGTCCACTTCCAGGTCTTCTGATAAAGGTTCAGCGCGCTCTTCAGATTTCATTAACACTCACCAGTTTGGGCTGTTCTCCCCTTCATTTTGTTTGGTTTTTGTTCTGAGTAAGCACAGTACTAACTCCCACCTTTCAGACCTAACAGGTGAACAGCCTGCTCATCTTAGTGTTTTCTCTGGGTTATTATTACCAGCTCCTGAGGTCCCCAGTCCCCTTGCGTTAAACATGACACAGGTGGGAAAAGCCACCTTTTATGGGCGACAGTTTATCCTGGACATTAGGGTCTGTTTCCTCTGTCTTCCACCTGATCGATATTCTTGTTAGCTCTGATTCTCTTTTGAATATCTAAGCTGTTGGAAGAATTTTATTGATATCTGGCTTAGGTTATCTAAACATCTCCACGCATCACCTAGAAGGCTAAAATCCGCCTTCATGGATAGATACCACCATAAGTATTTCCCAATGTAAATACTAAACTAAAACCAAGTAATAAGTTGACTTAGAAGAAGCAAGTTATATTTTGATGGACACTTTCTTACTCTCGTTACCTTGATCTATTAATAACTCACTCTTAGAGATATCTACAACTTTTTAAAAAGGTATAATGAAGTATAGCTATGTATCAAAGCCCCTTCCAAGCCAACTTGGATGTGGACAACGAGCGATGAGTTAGTTGCAGCCTGCATTCCCACCTCCCTCTTTCTCTCTCCCTCTCCTTCTTCTTCCCCTCCCTCCCCTCCCTTCTCCCTCTGCTGATAGTTCATTGGTGTGGACTATCAGTCTAGGTGGGAATGGAAGAAAGCATACATCTGAAGGTGTAATAGTGAGCTTAGTCCTGGCCTCCCAGGAATCATTGTGAAAGAGCGTAAAACCAAATCAATGAAGAGCTTTTGTTAAGTGTATGTCACCTCGTAAAAACAAGTGTGGGTTCAGTTGTGGGCAGCAAAAAGATGGCAAAGCAGCCAAGAATTATTGATTCAAGTTTGAGAGGAATTGAGAATGGCAAGAAAACCCATGGATTGGGAGAATGGGACGAGCCATGAGGAGGGAGAGTAGACTTGAACCGCATGTGGACACCCAGTGTGTAGAAAAGGTGTGGCAGGATGGACTAGCCAGGAGGGTCAGAAGAGAGGGTCCATGTAGAGAGACTACAGTGTATCTGAGGAGCAGCTGAAGAGATCTGGCCTGGCAATAGGAGTCCTTCCAGATCCTTGAGAAAGAAAGTAACTCAAAGAAAAGAACCACCAGGGTGATATGTATTACATGGACCTCTGAAATCAAGTGTGTTTTGATAGTAACCATTTGTTTTTAATCTCTTCTGATATTAACTGTCTTTATGAAGAATGGTGATTGTTACAGTGTGCATAAATTGGCTGAACTTGAGACTCAAGTTGAACTTGAGATTAGAAGCAGAGAGCATTCCAGGTAGACCATGTTAGGTTTCTCTTTCTTTTGTGAGTGGTTCTCAGCACTGCCCTGAGACCAAGTCTGTAACCAGCAAATCACACCTGGTCATTCTAAACGCCATATGAATGCCATGTTCTTATCTTAGGCCTGCCTGGAAGCAAGCTTGAGAATTCTTACATTTTGACTTGTTTGAAAGGCTAGTGAGGAGACTATTAGTTTTCTGTGGTCCTTAAATGGCCCCTGGGTTACCTAAGATCTTTAAAGACACTGGCTGAAAGAACTTCTGATTTAGCACAGAGGGCAGATGTGGAGGAGCTTGTGGCCTGAATGAGCATCAGCTTCTGAATGGTCTCTGTTTGAGAGGTATTTTCTCATCACAACTTGGGAACGGAGACGCTGCAGGTTTGTGAGTGGAGCCTCAAGGAGTAGTTTGCAGCAAGTTAACCATGCACGGAAGCATTCACGGAGCACCTTTTCAGTGCCCGGGCATATGCAACAGGTGGACACCCAGTGTACTCTGTGCATAGAACTGGGAAGAGATGTACATAAATTATGCCATTTATTTCTTACAATAAGCCTTTGGAAAAGACACTGTTACGGTTCTTTCTTGGCAACCAACATAACAAGTGCAGACAGGTCTATTAACTCCCTCTTCCCATCACAGAGCTAGTGAATGTGTTAGAGTGATTCCCAGTTCGGTCATGGTCTGCCTCACCTTGGAAGCTCTGTCCACTGATGTTAAGCTACAGCCAGAAAAGACATAATGTCACTTTCTCATCACCTAGTAATAAAATAATTCATTCTGGGAAGGGCCTCAGACAAAAGCAGATCAATGGGTCTCAGGAAGTCTTCATGAAGAAGATGAGCTAGATCTTGGAAGGAGGGTGAGGATGGGGAACTATTTTATTATGTATTAAGCATCTACTGTATTAACCACTGGAGGCTCCCTCACAGGGAACTTTATTTCATGTACAGCAACTCTGGGCTGGAAAACGTCAGTCTCTTTCACATAGGAACAGTGTGAGATAAAGAGGGAATGTGGACTTCCAAAGGTTCTTGTGCACTGAGGTCTAGACCTAGGGTGGATGGGGGAGGTAGAGACTGGAGTGAGGGTTGGCATCCTGGATGTAGAATGGATGGCATGTGCCAAAGTGGGATCTGGTGATCTGTGGCATGTCCAGGAAATAGGAAGATGCCCTACTGACCTGGGTCCAAAGGTTAAAAGAAATCCTGAAAAGGTGTTTTGGAGACAGATGCACAAAAGGCCCAAAATGATGAGATTTAAGAGATGGTTTGGTGTGGGATTAGGAGTTAGTGACTCCTATAAGCAAATGGATGAAAGGAAGGCTTGGTCTCCAGTCTACTCGATAGACTGCAAGAGTTAACTGAGTGTGTTACTCCTTTGAAAGTCACAGAGATCAGCCTGGCTGGGTGGCATATGCCTGGAATCCCAGAAGTCTGGAGGTTGAGCCATGATTGATCATAAATTTGAAGTCAGCCTGTGCTACACAGGGGGACCTTGTCTTTAAAAAAAAAAAAACAAGGAAGGAAGGAAATCACAAAGAGAAGTCAGGTGGACCTGAAGAGATGGAGATAGAAGGAAAATGTAGCCATTTTTTCTTTAATCACCCAAGGGTTTGGATGGGCCTGATGTAAGCATTCTATGGTGGATTAAAGAACTGGTGGTTGGTGGAATTCTAGTGGGAGGGGCATTCCCGATTTGCTTTACTGAGTTCCTTAGACTATTGAAAGAACTCCCAACACATCCTCAGCCCTCTGCTGCCTTCTCCATGGACTGAGGCATGAGTCTCGCTGGGGTTCTCGGGGCTCTGATTCTCCATCATCTTTTAAAGGCCCCAGGACTTCATTTGCCTCTGGGATGTCTTCCTCGCCCTTGTGAGGAAGAGTGGAAGAATCTGATCTTCCAGAAAAATTACTTATGTTCTCACCAGACAGCTTTGTCCAATCAGAAGTAGTCATTAACATAAATATAGAGACAGTAATACTCTAAGCAATCCTTTCAGTGTTTTAACACATTCTTCCTACACACACATCCTGGGTGTAGAATGGATGCCATGTGCCCCCCCCCCTTTTGGATAGAATAAACTTTCTTTGAGCTACTCTGTTATTTGAAGATCCAAACTTCTCAACCGTCGCACTGTCCTCAGAACATCGGGAGCACACCAAGGGTTAATGTCTCCCTATCAGTGAGGTTCAGACGGGCTGGCCTTTGTAGCTGATAGATGTTTTACTTTGGCCTTATAAAGACATTTTATCCGCTGGAAACCCTTGTCGCATGACAGAATCAAAAATAGCCCTCCGCAGCCTCTGCTGTCCGTCACCACATGTAAACTGGCAGGAGAGAAGGTTCTCTTAGCTGTGTCTGCACATTGTGGACATATCAGCTCTGGGGACAGTGTTTTATACAGCCACACCTGTCACCAAGGGTGAGCCAGTCACCTGATCTGCCACAGAGTTCTGAATGCCTGCACGACCACGCGCCTGCTTTCTGACATGCAGTTAAGAACATCTCCAAGTGTCCTCAGAAACACTTGGTAACATGGTTTCTGCTGGCACTGGGAAAGAGCTACAATTCTAGTAAAATGGAATGTATTTTTATCCCGGGGAGACAGAGTTCACCACCCTCTCTGATAAATTCATCTTTTCCATAGATGTTCTTAACGAGTGCTTCCAGTAGAATTCGGAAAAGACAAAGAAAAAAAAAGTCTGTGTTTTTGAAAAGCCTGAACATGATGTTTTGTGTCGAGTTCTTTAGAATTTGAAGATGGTTATTTGTGCTTGTGCTACTAATAAGTTGGTTTTGTTGACAGCCAGATAGCATGCCTGTGTTCTATTTTTAGAAAGATGGGGGGTTGTGAGGGAGATTCATTTAAAGAAAGACAAAAATAAGCCAGATATTGGAGGTAGCACTTTATAAATGGGCGGTGATAATCACAAGAGCGGCGGCAGTAATGCATGTGATCTCATAAACAAACCTCTTGGGATTTATTTTTTTAACCAACACTTTTGTGAGGTCCTCGGGTCTGTCCTGTATGTGAGCTGCGAATACGGCATTTAAGACGACACTTGATGTTTGTTTCATGTTCTTGGCTGTTTTCAGGGTGACCCATAACCATACAACTGAGCTATACAAAATGTTAACCAACGGGGCAGATGGAAAGCGGATAGGCTAGTAAATGAATTTCTTCTGACGTGGAGGCTGACGTAAGAGTTAGTGGGCGTGCAGAATAAGCGCTGTCTGACAATGTATATCTTCGAAGTCTCTGTTAAGTTCAGAGACATTTGGTTGTATTTTCCTGTCCCTAACTTCCCATCAACCTCATCATCCCCAACCCCTTTCTGTCTGTCTTGCATAGAGACAAGCAAGCTGGCTGAGCCTCATTTGCCTGATAGTCAAACAGGTTTGATTGACTGTTCTGTCCTTATGGGGAAAAAAAAAAAAAAGCGTGAGCACAAGTGTGCTGCACACCTCTTTGGGACTCACTGCTGGGACTGTGAATAGCATTGTGGTAGCTTCCCACAACAGCCTCTGTGAGCGGAGTGAGCTGCACTACTGTCGTTTGAGGAGTGTGACTGCTGTGTTACCACACTTGTGAACTTTTACACTCCTGGTTTTGGGTGTTTTTTGTTTTTTTTTTATTTTATTTTGTCGCCTGCTTCTTTTGTAATTATGATTTTTAATCAGGGTGACTGAGGTTGCCGAGAGATTAATGTGTGCTGATCTGCCTAGCGATTTCAAATAGGGTTGCCATGATAAACATCCAGAGTCTATTCTCCCATTAACAGCCAGGCTGTCACTCCCACAGAACCACGTGATCTCAACCTTCCGAGCCCTGCATTCACAGCACGGATTTTTCTGTTTGTTAGCCATATCCTTCTTATATGAACCTGACAAATCCTCAGGAAGCCCTGTGAAATCTCTGTTCCGTGCACATGGTTCACTTTCCAAACTTGGCATAGCTGATACTGCATGGTTCGAAGTCATAAGCGGAAATTCTAACAAGGAGAATGCCATTCTGTCTTTGTTGATGAATTCTTTCGAGGGTGCATCAAATGGACTGCTAAAAAGTAGATATTATGGCAACCCTATGTTGATAGCAACCACTAAATTTGAGTTTGTCTCCATCTCTGAGCAAAGAGTTCCACTGGAGATGACTTGTCTGACTTTGTTTCTCATTTCTTAACAGGATCCCTGCCCACTACGTCTACCCGCAGGCTTTTGTGCAGCCTGGAGTGGTTATTCCCCACGTCCAGCCCACAGCAGCTGCGGCTTCCACCACGCCGTACATTGATTACACTGGAGCTGCCTACGCACAATACTCGGCGGCGGCAGCTGCAGCCGCAGCAGCCGCTGCCTATGACCAGTACCCTTACGCAGCATCCCCAGCGGCTGCAGGCTACGTGACCACTGGGGGCTACAGCTACGCTGTCCAGCAGCCGATCACCGCTGCTGCACCTGGGACAGCTGCAGCCGCGGCTGCAGCAGCTGCAGCCGCAGCAGCCTTTGGCCAGTACCAGCCTCAACAGCTGCAGACAGACCGAATGCAGTAGACCAGCCGTCTGATCCAAGTCAAAGGATTTCTCTTTCCCTCCCAGTTTCCCAGTTTTTAGTAGAGAATGTTAACGTTGACTTAATAGCTTTAAAGGGGGAAAGCAAAGCTATTGTGAATCAGATGCATTACTTTTTTTCGTACTCCGAGTAGTGCTGCGGATGAAGAGGGGAGAATGGGAGGGCGAGAAGCAGTTTTTGAAGTCAATCCCAAAGAGCCTGAGTTACACAGAATAGACACTAGGACATGATGGCAGGGGTATCACTGGGACTTCACTTTTGTATCGGGATTTTTATTTTTTGCTCTTTTTATAGTATCAGGGAAGCAAACTGCCTTTTCCAAGTTAGAAAATGCTATGTGAATCTAGTTGACCCAGGGAATATGGAGTGAGCAATATGTAGCTTGAATTATGTGTAAAAGTAGATTTTTAAAGACAGGCAAGATGGCAGCAGCGCTGGCTGTCCTTTGCTGCAGTCCCCCACAGCCTGCAGAACGCTGTTGAGGCAGGAGGTAGTGTTTGCGTTATCTCAAAAATGGGCATCGAACAATCAGTTTAGAAGTATGGCGGCGGCAGCGGCGGGTACAGTGGTAAGCAGGTACCAAAGCTATTTTCTCATCTGTCCTGTGGACTCGTGGGATCGTGGAGCAATTGATACTGTACCAGCCACTCAGACAATCAATGGCACACACAGTTCTGGAGAGAGACCATCACTTGTACTTGTAGGAGGAGCTTGTCACATGCTGATCCCTCTCCCCACCCTGTTTCACTTGGGGATACTTTCATCTGCTGGTCAGGCTTCTTCCACCACCACCACCACTTTTCTATTTATTGTAGGGACTGGGGGTTATGGGTAAAGGCAGGCAAAGTTTGCGGATGCTCAACCTTTCGGGACTGTCTGGAGGGCCTTTATTTTCTTCCCCGTTTTAAATAATTCTACACTTTTTAGTATCTATTTCAGAGTCCTATTTAAAACTATTTATTAGTGACTACAGTACCTAAGACAGCAAGGTTCTTGACATTACAATTCTTTGATGGTTGATAATCATGTACTTTATAATGTGCCTTAATAATAATCCTATTTAAGATATTTATTTTTAAGTTTTACTCTGCTGCACTCTAAAGGAAGGAACTTTAGACGTGACACTGTAAGATTATGTATTCATCTCATGGCATAAGTTATTTAGTAGGTCTAGATGTAGCATATTAAATATTAACCTATTCAACTCAAGATGTTGGCTTGGATTTCTTTAAATTCATATGTGCACTGTTCAAGAGGGGTACTCTTACCTGAACACATTTGAGTTTATTTTAGTCTTGAGATTTTCTTTTTTCAAACAAGCTCCATTGCTGGTTCTGTGCTTCCTCCTCTTGATTGTTCAATCCCTGCAGATCTCATCTATCGGGAACTCATGGCTTCCCCACTTTCCTGGTGTAGTGTACGTAGTTTTAAAATACCGCTTTATATTTTCCTTCTGAAAGTGCGATACTTGCAATTTTTACTCTTAAACTAAATTGAATACTATTTTACACTGTATTGGACTTTTATACTTGAAGAACTTCATACAAGGGACAACAGGTTAGCGTTTTTATGGACTTTCTCCATTGTCACTGGATTTAGTATTCCCATATCAGACAGTGGTATGCAATGGAGACGTGGCTCTCCTGTACAGATTATTTATTTGTTGTGTATATCGCTTTATAACATTTCAGATCTTCTAATCTATTCACTTGTATTAAATATAATTTTTAAAAACTGCTGTTGCATTGGTTATTTCTAGTTCTGCAGGAAAAAGGAGTGATTCTCTTTCGAATTAGTTTTCGCATTCTGAGAGAGGCTGACTGTGAACACTTGATGTAGCCAAGGACAACCTTGAACTTTTGATCTTCTCCTCCTGAGTGCTGGCAGTACAGGCAGGCACCTCCATAGCTAGTGCTTCTCGAATCTGGGGCAAGCACTCTACCAACTGAGCTACATTCCCAGCCCCCAGCCCCTCTCCCCCTTTTTAAAATTAGTTTGATTAACCATGCATGCCTCATGGAAAACATTTTTGATAACATTAAAATCTCTTGGAGGTCCTACTTTTTGACCTTTACATTAAATTTCCTAGGCCGGGCGGTGGTGGCGCACGCCTTTAATCCCAGCACTCGGGAGGCAGAGCCAGGCGGATCTCTGTGAGTCCGAGGCCAGCCTGGGCTACCAAGTGAGCTCCAGGAAAGGCGCAAAGCTACACAGAGAAACCCTGTCTCAAAAAACCAAAAAAAAAAAAAAAAAAAAAAAAATTTCCCTAAATATCCTCCTTATGTGTAGTGAATAGACCATCCCCCTAAACTGAATCCTAAAGTACCAGTGGTATCACTGAAAACTGGTGATGGCTGGGAAGGAAGAAGGGGTGTCACCAGTCCCAACCTTGATCAGGACAGTGACGTGGGTTGTCTTTATGTACGCTGTGAATAGGTGCTGCTCCCGTTGGTTACAGTGCTGGATTCAGATAAACTAAGGGCTGAGGCTAGCCTCAGAATTTTCTAGAAATGCCAACGGATCCAAATGCCCTTGCTTGTTTGTTTGTTGTGCTAAAATTGAACCTCGGGTTTCACATTGCCCAAGCAAGTGTTCTACCACGGAACTGCATTCCCATCCCCCTTTCTGACTTTTGACAGGACTCCATGTATACCAGGCTGACCTCGAACTTGCTGCGTAACAGAAAATGACCTTGAACTTCTGATTTTCTGTCTTCAACTCCTGAGTGTTGTGATTCCAGGCGTGCACCATCACAGTTGATGCAGGTGGTCCTGGGGTTTGAATCCAACCAAAGGCCATCCCGTCCCAGCTTTTAATTTTCCAGACAAGGTCTCACCAAATGGCCCTGGTTAGCCTTGAACTCACTCTCTAGAGTAGCTTTAACTTGAGATCTTCCCACCTTAGTCTCCCTACAGGCCTAGACTACCAGATTACTTTTAGTAACTCCATTTTTGGTGATATTTTCAGACTTCTTAAACAGCTGATTGGAACAAAAATGCCAACTTAATAGTCATAAAAGTATCATATAAAAGCTCCTCGATGCATAGCCAAAAATGGAGGGTGTGAATTCATGAGAGCAATTGCTGCAATGTGCTGTAGTGATGGCTAACCAAATGGAAAGTCCCCAGTGGGGAGGTTTTACTTTTTAACGGAAATGTGGTAATACCTAGTAAGGTATGCATTAGAAAGTCAAATAAGCAACATGTGTTAAAATGTCAAGGGAGTGGCTATATTGATTATCTTAAAGAGTAGATGTTACTTTCATTTTACTGTGCATAGTTTGTGAACTCTTGGTCCTCATGTCTCCCAGATCCATGGTGTGTCTTGAACCCTATTAGTTTCCAGTAGTTAGAGGCAACAGAAAGATGTACAAGCGGGCCATCCTGCCTTATAACCATCCTCCCATTTGGAACCATTGCAGGTTTAGACTTCAATTGCCTTTCATTTTGAAGGCAATGTAGATAGCAGTTTATCCCCAGTGGGAGGTGGAAATGAACCTTGAGCCATGATCAACAATCAGGAGAATCATGTCTGAGCTGCTTAATGCACTAGTGACCATTTTAATTTTTCAGACTTATGAAAGGTCACTTTGGTCCTCAACAAGTCATCTATCTCTGAATTTGAAGTAATGTTTGATTTATTGATTAAAAATAGGTCAGACAGTTCCAGGGAAAGCATATTAAAAATAGCCAGACTCAGGAAAGGCAAAAGTCCACCTATTCTAGCTAGCCTGTACATTTCCTTAGAATATTTCCTGATGTATAGTAATAGAGAGAAAGATCAGCACTTTCTAACACTAATGCATACATTTCTGAATGAAATGAAAAAATTAATATCTAATAAAGAGGAAAAAGGTATCATGACACAACATCTACAACAGGTATTTGAGAGGACAGTGTGTCTGAGATCCAAGGTACGGAATGAGTCCTCTACTCAGTATGAGTGTCTCTGCTTAATGGTGGAGTGATACACTGGGCAGTGAGTGAATGATACCCACCATAGTCCCCCTACCTCTCATGCCATGCTGATGAAATGATGAAAGCTATGGCTTGCCTCCTCCACAACTTATGTTGAGATTCCATTCTCTTTGTGAGATGTTGAGAGGTGAGTCCAGATGTGATTGTCCAGAGAATGAGGCTGTGCATTCACCAACAGAGCTATCCATTCACGGATCCGTGGATTGGTGGCCTGATGACTTCTCTCCAAGTGGGTCTACTAGAAAAGCCATTTTGCTTAAAAGTCTTTTGTGAACTTCCTTTCTCTGATCACATGATGCCCTGCAGTGCCTTAAGGATGCCCCCAAGAACGCCATCGCCATTTGGGCCCTCTCTGTGTTAGACCAGAACCATGAGCCAAAACAAACGTCATTTCTTTATAACATACTAAATCTGTGGTATTGTGTTACTGGCAAGAGAAAATGGACTAATGTAGTGGACTAAGTGATAAGAAATCATTTTAGAAATTTTAAAGTATGGGGCAAGTGAAAATTAGCCTGAGACAATGTAGTTTGGGATTTTTTTGTTGTTGTTGTTGTTGGCCTGTATTTTTTGTTTGTTATGTTTTCAAGACAGGGTCTCCTGTAGCTCAGATTGGCTATGAACTCACTGTGGAGCCAACAATGATCACAAATTGTTGATCCTCCTGCCTCCACCTCCTGAGTGTTGAGCTTTCAGCTGTGCACCACCACATCTGGTTTTGTCCAGTACTGGAGATGGAACCCGGGGCTCTGTGCATGTTAGACAAGTGCTCTACCAACCGAGCTACATCGCCAGTCCCTAATGAGGAGATGCGAAAATATTAATTCAGTAACTGGCTTCAATCAACTCACTAAATGACCCTTCTCAAGACGACAAAAATTGTGTTTCATGATGTGATCGCCATCTCATCCCAGTCTAATAATAACCAAGTAATCAAACAGCCAAATTGTACAATAACAGCAACTCAAAAGCAACAGTGAAAGAGAGAGAGTTTACCAGCTAGGGGAAGGGGGAGCAGAAGCAGAGATTACAGAATACATTTCTCTCGCAGAGCCTCTATATTTAGTCCCTTCCTCGCTCCTGTCAAAGGTTCTTAATTCCTTTGGAGTCTTAAAAGCACTCATTAAGATGACAACCCGGGGCTCGGAAGGGGCAGAGGTGAGGACGAACAAGAAATAAATAAATAAATGCTTTTTCATGCTTACTTTTGTCCTCGCTTCTCCTTCAAGAGTTCCAGACTGTTTCCATGGAGATTCTAACTTTGTTTTTGCTTAAGCACTTTGTAGAAAAGAGATTCATTTTGGGGTTTGGTTCTGAGTGGGATTTTAGTTCAGTAGTGATTTTTGCTGAAGTCACTTGCATGACAAGCTCTTGAAAGGTTCTGGTATTTTTAATTGGCATAATAATTGTACATATTTATGGGGGTAAATACGATGTTTTGTTACATGTGTATATAGTCATAATCAAATCAGGGTAATGAGCCTATCTACAATCTCAAAATAATTATCATTTGTTGTGGTGAGGATATCTCCCAGGCTATTTTGAATATGCATCAGTTGAACAGCTTAGGGTATTTTGCAATAGACATTATTGTTAACTTGAATCACCCCGCTGTGCGATAGAACACAAAAATTCTTGTATTTATTGTCCAGCCTTTCTCCATCCTGTCCCCTGGCTAACAGGTAGAATCTTTCATAGCCAACATTCTTCACTCTGTTTCTGTAACATCACTTGAAATCCCATGTGTGGATGAGACCACATCTTATTTGTTCTTTTATGCCTGCATTACTTTATTTAACATCCTTCTGGGTGTTGCATATGGCCGGGCTTCACTCATCAGTAAGGCTGACAGTATTTAGATAAACACATATGGGCATCACATTCATATACATGTCTGTACATGATGATTGAGTTGACTTGAATGGATGTCACATCCTGGCTGTCTTGTGCAGTGCTGTTATAATAAAAAAAAAAACGCAAGACTGACACTCAGTTTTATTTGATATATGAAGTAATGGCTTGATCCTTCAGTAGTTCTCACTTTAACTTTGTGAGGAACCTCCACCCAGTTGACCACAGTGACTATGATAATTCACACCCCCACCAACCACAGTATTTAAGAGTTCCCTTTTTTCAGAGATCCACATGCCTCTGCCTCCCAAGTGCTGGGATTAAAGGCCTGTGCCACCATAAACCTTTAATCAGAGGCAGAAGCAGGCAGATCTCTGAATTTGAGGCCAGCCTGGTCTACAGAGTAAGTTCCAGAGAAACCCTGTCTCAAGGGGAAAAAAAACCCAGGGTCTTAGGCATGCTGGGCAAGTACTGCATCATTCAAATATATTCCTAGCCTCCTTTTTTTCTCTCTCTCTTTTGATGATAGCCATTCTTAACTGAGAGGAGGTGACAAGTCACTGTGGTTCTGACTTGTATCTTCTTGATAATCGTTGAAGTTTTCTCCATAGAACTATTGAAAATTCCATGTTTAAAAATTATAATAATAGCTATTATTAGTGTGTGTGTGTGTGTGTATGTGTGCATGTGCGTGTACGTGTGCGTGTGCGTGTGCGTGTG